CGAACGCCTTCTCAACGACCAACAATATGCCATGACAAATGTATTCGTAATAAACTTGTTCCATTTGATGATGTTAGTAGCCCGTGCAAGATGGTGGCTTTTCCTAAACACGAATTGCTCTTTGAGAAAGATGTTATTATTAGAAAACTTTCGTCAGGGATAACTATGGGGGTGGCAGCGTAGGCTTGTAGGGTGTAGGCTTGTGGCAACTTACCATGGCTATTTTTTCTCTGTTAGGGACATTAAACCACTGTGACCAGTTGTACTATATCCCGTGTCCTTAGTTTAGTGCATGTCGTATTACTCCATCACTATTGAGAAATGATGAAGTATTCGGTTTTGATACAGTTGTCATTATTGCCTTCATCGCAATGAATCTATTATAATTGAAAGGTTCCGCTATTTTTACCCTTCGAAGAGTGAGAGCACCCTCCAAAGGCACGCCCCTTTGTCAGTCAAAATTAGATTCCGTAGCAACAAACTTAAACAATGACACCAATAATGACCATACATCAGAACCCAAGTCTTAACCACTTCAACCTAGGGAACAACGAATAGAAGATTAGGAATCACATACACAGCAAAAAAAAATGTAATATCGATCAATGTAATTCAAGCTGATGTATGAAATTATGATGTAATAGCAAAAAGCAGATACAATATTACATCAATGGATGTAATTTTGTTCGCAAAATCGATGTACATCGTACAACGTTATATTACACAACCGATGGATTGACCTGGTTGCAGCAGTTTGGATGAAATATTCAACAACTTTTTTTTCTGTGTAGATAAAGACTAACTAGCTCATGGTTTCCTTGTTTCAAGATCATCCTCGGTGGACAAAGCCGAGGCTTGTCACCACCAACAACGCATAAAAAGTAACAAGGACTAGGATGTGTTACTTTGATTACTGAAAAATCCTGTTCACCTAGTTTGAAGTAGTCAAGACTAGGAATCGGTGGTTGATCTTACATCCCGTAACGTACCACGACAAGGCTTGGCCAAGGTTATGAGAATTAACAAAGTGTTGACCAAGAGCATTGGCCTTTTCAACTGGGGTTAAGAGTAAAGATTGATCCGAAATCTGATTATGGGGGAAAAGGGAGGGGAAAAGGGAGGGGAAAAGGGAGGGGAAAGGGAGGGGAAAAGGAGGGGAAAGGAAGAGGAAAGGGAGGGGAAAGGGAGGGGAAAGGGAGGGGAAAGGGAGGGAAAGGGAAGGGATGCGCCTCGGCTTTTTTTTTTAATCTTTGCCATTTTCCAGAACGGCTTAGCACAATTTGGGAGAGAGCGAATCTTGTTTGCAAAATCTTTATTTCTGATATCCACCACATCAACTCACGAACCGGGGACCAACGGCTTTACTTCCCATCCGAAGGAAGGCGTGATCAGAGATGTCATGCCTCAGAACATCCCGGCGGCGCCGACTGGGATTGAACCCAGGCCTGCTGGGGTGAGAGGTAATCACTCTTACCACTACACAACCGGCGCCATTATATCCACCATCCTGGCTTGAATGATTTTGTTTAAACGGTTGCAATTGGTCTTCAGATGAGGCAGGCCAGTATGCTGGTACTGCCTACAAATGGTGTTGCGGAGTCTAATGAGGTCTTTAGTGGGCCTGTCAAGGTTCAGAGTGGCCTGGAAAATCGCTTCATCGATGAAGCGCAGGCACCGGTCGATGTCATCGGCCGTTTCTGACTGGACGTCATAGTCGGTACTGGTATCGGTACTGGTTGCGCCGACTGATGATGTTTTCCCGCCGTCGTGACAATATCTCGCCGCAGGTCTGCTGCCGACCCGTTCCTGATGTTAACTTGTTTGCGTCAGTAAGCCGCAATGGTGGTGATGGGATCGACAGGAGTAGAAACTTCCACCCCTACGGCATCGATGATCTTCAGTTGGAAGCTCGGCAGCAGCCGACAGTAGTTGTTCCTCCTTAGAGCGATGACCCCTCCTCCTCCCCCGTAGCTGGTTCGATCAAGCCTCAGATGCCGGAAATTTGTAAGGAAGACGTTAATCTCGGCCTTCAGGTACACTCGCGAGCATAAGTTTAAGGACACCCCCAAAAAAACATGACACATTTGTTATGTTCATATCTCTGTCATGTTCCGTTAAATTTTCGTTCTCTTAAGATCATTTGAAAGGTATTGAATGGAACTTTCCTAATTTCCAAATTGCTCAATATAATTTTCAAATTTTGTGTGCTAAAAGTTCACCCAAAGTTACAATATTTTTCAAAATTTACTCTGAAGAATCGTGACTGATTTTCTCAGAATTGGGTTGGCCAAATTTTGAAATAAAAGTAGTAGTAGAACACTATGCTATACCATTCATACCATTCAAATAACCTTTGGAGATCGACAATTGAACAAAACATATTTGCATGGTTTTTTGGGGTGTCCTTAAACTTATCATCGGTAGTGTACATTTCGGTGATGATGGCAATATCGATGTTTCGTTCGTTGAGGAATTCTAGATGTTATTGCTAGCAAGCGTTCAAATTGGAAATTTTGATGGCTTCACGGTCCATACTTATTGATGAGGGATACTGCAGCATGAAGCTGTTCTGTTCGGGTCTTGCGTTGTAAACAGAGTGTCTGTGTTCTCAATGGTTGGTGAAGGGGGAGCACCTTTCTGCTGTCACGATAAGGAGGTGGAGAGGTGCTTCGACAGGCAGCGGTTGCCGCATATGACTGTTGACTCCAGTTTACAGGACTGTTAGGCACCCTAGCTGTAGGCGGGACCGGTTGTTGAGTGGAAGTGGCGGAAGAACCGGCATTTAGCGCCGTTGCACGATGGCAGGAAAGTTCTGTCCGTTATTTTCTGGCACTCTTCTGCGGCCAGGATGATTCTTCGTAGAGGTTTTATTGTGGATAGCAATGTCTTGCTGGTTGCCCGATGTACTGCACCACAATTGGCACATTTGAGGTCTGCTTCCTCCAATAATTCGCAGATATCAGGTCCGTGTTACTTTACAGCGGAAAGCCTGAACAGCATGCAGTTCGCGCATTGAGTGACATCACGGTAGATTGGCTTGTACTGTTCCCAAATCGCCACGATGTGGAAAATTGCCCGAATGCTCTGAAGGTCCTTCAAGCATGTTCAATTCCTTTCCAGGTGGACCAGATACAGTTGGTCACGGTACTTACGTGAAGCGTCATGACGATTTATCTTGAAAATTTGGATCGGCTTGAGTCCATGTTGCAAGTGTGACTGTTTCCATGTCTGTTTCAGCACCGCCTCAACGGCCTTGTAGTGGTTCATTGCTGGAACCATCAGCTTGATGCCTACACATGCACATGGTGCACTTGAGACCTTTACCAATGTAAAAGTCGAGTTTCTACCGCAAATCTTCTGGGAATCCTTTCACGAAGAACGGTATAACATTCTCCTTCTTTTCCAGGTCGAAGTTTTCCAGGATGGCGTAACGATTGTTGGCCAACAGCTTCTTCGATGCCAATTGTGCACTGGTGGTGTCCGATGGAGATCGTTTCCCGCTTGAAATAGCAGTCGCGTCAACACGCGGTGGTTTTCCCATGCTGGGGTCGGACGATTCTTCACCAAACACCACGAAAAAGGAATGGTGAACAACTCGAGAGAGCGAGTAGAAACCGAACTGTACCGCCTGACGGTCAAGCAGTGAATGATCTCGACATACAGTACTCTAAACGCGAGGACTTTAAACACATCCTAAAGCAGTCATTAATCGATAACCAACCAGGAAGGAGAAAGGAAAAAACGTCAGCTTTCAGGGCGGAGGATTTCCCGTCTCTTAAGCTGGGTTTAGACTAGGCAAGTCAAATGATCAACTCAGTTGAATTCAATTGGCTTGAAAAGTTGAGCCTGGTTCAACTTTTTTCAATTCAAGTGAGTTGATCAAGTCAGTTGAATGGCATGGTTTACACGTTCAATTGGCATTCAAGGCAGTTGAATTCAATAGACTTGATCAATTGACTTGCCCTGTCTAAACCCAGCATTAGTGATCTTCGTAAGTAGCGCAAAATCCCGAGCAGATTCAAGTCTTTGGTAAGTTTATCATCCAGTAAGGCGTCTAAGCCGCTAACTATCGTCACCTAGAATGTTTTTTTTTTCTTTTTCCTCTGTTTGGGACCTAACTCTACTACAGTTGTTATTATTGCATTTATCGCAAGGATCGGACTCTAATTGAAAAGTCCCGCTCTTTATATCCTTCGGAGTGTTGAAACACCCTACAAAAGCGCTCCCCTTTGTCAGTCAAAATTGGATTCCTTAATAACAAAATTAATTGTTTCAAGATCATCCTTGGTGGGAAAAGCCGAGTCTTGTCACTATCAACAAGGCATAAAAAGTAACAAGGTTCCTTTGATTACTAAGAAATCCTGTTCCCCAAGTTTGAAGTAGTCAGTACTAGGAATCGGTGGTAGATCTTACATCCCGTAACGTACCGCAAAAAGGTGATCTACCCACGTAACGGGGCACTTGGAATGCTTACTCTGAGCAAAACAGATTGAGCTTCCATTTGAGCAAACACACAAAATTCGACTTGTTGGCAACTCAAATGCAGGGAACTGATTGTGATTCGAACTATAAGCGAATAGCTTCGTATTGTTCACAAAAAACGAGCGTGCACGAATGATTTTCATACTTAGAATACTACGTTAGAAATCCAGTTCATGTATTATACAAATTAGGCGAGTAATGTTGATATAAAACCTGAAGGCTTGCAATACCAAAGTTATGCACAATTCACGAACAAAATGCTATTGTTAAAAAACTACTTTCAGTGTATATTAAAAATAACAGAGTTAAATGCCCTACTATTTGTAAATTATTTCGATTACTGTATAACAGAATCTATATAAACGGTGGATTTATTATAGGATTTGCATTGAGAAACTGTAAGAGCAGCAAGCATGTATCAGTTGAGTGTTGTTTTTGGTTTTCTTTTTGTTTAAATATAACTGTTGCTGAAAATTACAATTGGTTACTGTACAGGATCTAATATTCAGCAGTTTATTTTATTCATCGATTTCACTTTTTGTAAAAACGCCTATATCGCCAGTGTTGATCTTTCTTATTTCTTCTTTGATCCATTCGGTGTGCAAGCTGTTTCTAACATAGACTCCAGGAATATCAGTCTGCCCACAGCCAATTCCCCACGCAACGATACCAGCTTGGTAGTATTTGTTCTGAAAACCCGGCACTGGACACATTAGAGGTGATCCACCATCCCCGGTACAAGTATCCACTCCGTCTTGTCCACCGGCACAGATGAAGGATTCATGCAGTCGAAACTTTGGGCCTAGATTCGTGGTTTTCAGTGCCGATTGGCAATCGTGTTTAGAAACCATGGGAAGCTGAATCTTTTTCAAAATAGCTTGTGAATTTTCTGAGACAAAATCTGCTTTTCCCCAACCAGTTGCGAAACAACTGTTACTATTGAAAGCCAAATTCTGCGGTGGCAAGCATATCAACTGGATGTGCTCATTCGCAACGAATGGGTTCTCCAGAACAAGCAAAGCTAAATTATGAAACAGAAGCTCGTGATGGAAGTTAGGATGAAAAATAACTTGTTCTACGCGTTGTTCCTGTGGGAAAGATAGTACTTAATTGATTGCTTTAAATTATCTTACACAGTTAAGCCTACCTGGTAATCAAGAACTTCGTTCTTTGTCATTATGTCCCATTCGCCTGCACGGGCAATCAAAGTTTCTGGGTTCTGGTTCATCACACAGTGCGCTGCGGTAAGTACTACATTAGGTGCAATCAATGATCCTCCACAAATATACTTTGAACTGGGTTCCGTTAGCTCTACTTGAGATTCTTCTGTCTGCATGATAGCGATCACCCATGGAAATTCACCAAACTCTGTTTCGTTTTGATTGGCATGAATAATGTGGAAACCAATGCCATCTTGGTTTCTTATTCCACAATCACGGAACGTTTTAATGGGCGCCAGTTCACAGCCTTGCTTTACATCCCGAACTACAGGTATAACATCTTCCTTAGGACAACATACTTCTAGATAATGATTACACAGCACTTCCACATCATCGCTCGAAAACCTTGAAAAATAAATTAACGCAATGATGGAAGGAACAGCTCATTAAATTTGGTAAATACCTCAAATCCACGAGGTTGACTGATCCAAAATCACTTCTACACTGCGCCAGAGGTACACAAAGTCCATCACACTAAAAATAAGACCTTATTTAATTAAAAGAAAATCACAATTACGAAGATATTTGTTACAAACCGGGTTATTCGAAAATATTGTATCGGAAAATGCGAACGCTACCAAATATCCAAACAAAACAGCTTGGAAGTATAAAAATCGATCGTGTGATGTACTGAGCGGCATTTCGGAACTGAATAGAGAGCTGATTGTGTTGCGGTTTAAATGTGATTTTACTGTTTGAAAGCAAGTGAAAAGTATAGTGATGGAGAGCAAAAAACTGAATTAATCCAGCAATGGCGATTTCTACTCTCCTTACATATTCAAATTCTTATGAAGTATCAGAACATTTCCAGATGATATTATGATCTGACATAACCTTGTCTGGGCTACAAAATGGTGATTTGACAACCTGGAAGGAGCGGGGTACCTATCTCCAGTCCGCACAAGTCCCTACTTCACGCCTCCACGAGTATTATGATTACAAAAGACTACCAGCTGAAACCAGCTAATCCGACAATAGCAAAGTGAGGAGGTGCCGCGCTACACTGGTGCGGTAATCATGGCATGGCGGTAGATGAAATGCTTCACCAATCCGAGAATCTGTTCACCACGGAGGTCCGGCTCAAACATTGGCTGAATAAGAAAAGCTCTTCCTCGGAAGCTACACCTAAGATGGCAGCCCTACCACCTACTGTCACTGACATATATAAATTGTTACAGAAATCAACATAACCTTGATATTGGATGTTCGTATTAGTTTTCACTGAACTTGAATAATTTTTATTCAGTTAACGGGGAATTCGGACAAAATAGAACGCATACTGCAACACAACCACTTTGAACTTGATGAATTATAATTTTTATTTGAGTGTCTGAACAATCATGATGGACGAACGTGAGGTGGTTGAAAGGTGGAGGCGGCACTATGATGAAAACCTGAATAATCCAGTGGCGCAGGAATAGTTATGGCGCATGAGAGAGGCTTGCCATCTCCCACGATAAGTAAACTGAAGGATGCTATCAAACAGCGAAACCCTAGGCGAAACCCGAGCTGAAGAAAATAACAAATGAATACCTAATTCTGACCTTTTACCAAAATTTGGTGTGGATCAACATGACATAAGAGCAGCGAATCCAAACACATAAAGCAACCAACGATACAGACAAAACGGTTGCTACGACTACCATGACAAACTCGCTCTGTAACAAAGCTCGATCCGAGTGGTAGAAGGATAATGATATATTGCTCACCTGCTTTGATGAAATATACACGGATAAGGACATAGCTTGATATGAATCGGGAAAAGACATAACAAAAAAATTCCCATTAACACACGTGTATCATCTTCGGCTTTACTTCGTGAAGCAGCTTGCCAACAATTTGCTCGTTTCCTTCTACCGCCCCGAATGAGTTGTGTCGCACGGGCTGCTTGTCATGAAAAAGAACGGTGAAGATTATATCATTATTGCTTTCCACTTCTGACATAGCGTTATTATTCGGTTCGTTGATCGCTTGTTATTTTGTCATTTGGAGATATTTTTGATTCCTTGCATAAGAGGTAAAATACGAAAGAATAATATCAAATATTTGCATGCAAAATACTTTGTTAATAACAAAACTTGGTGTTTGGGTACCAAAAAAATACCTGTGTGGTATTGTTTAGATATTGCACTGTCATAATTTGGTATTAGAGTGATCACTCGGCTGTCGACTGAAGCAGACCACTCTCAATGTGTGTCACGCGATCGTCTGTTTACTCGGCAGCAACCATTATTGTGTGGTCCTCTTCATTGTTCTTCATCAGCAATTCTTTCAGTCGATGCGTCGTTGACTTTGGAAATCAACCGTTTCGTGATAAATGTGTGAGTACTGACCACGTTTTGCGTCCATTGCTGCAATGGAAGCGCTCTGACCCTCGTTGGCGAATCTGCCATATAATGAAACTATTGAAAGCGGCTCCCGTTCTGGTCGAGGAGGCTGTTTTGGATAGCGGAAGACAAAATGTTTATTGTGTTGTACCTTTTGACTATAATTTTAAGATGTATTGTATCGTGAACAAAAATCCTCGGCTCTGTAAATTTAATTCGTCAAATAAATTAACAAAAAATAAAAAGGTATTGGAATGGTATTGTGAGATTTTTTTTTGTATGATTTTTTAGTATTTAACCTTCTATGTCAGGCTCAAATTTAGGGTATCAAGATATTCGTCCCTACTCGAGAAGAACAAAAAGGCAACTGGGATGAAGAAAATTGGAGTGGAACGTATTGAAATGAGCCTGAATAACATGGCATGTGAAATTAAGGGTCCTGAAACTGAAACATATGCAACTCGACAAAAAGTGCGTTTGATTGAATTGATTTTCTCGTCCTTTTCAACCGATTCTTATGTCAAAAGGGCCGCTTGCATGTGTCGGTCTCAGGGCACTGAAATTTACATGTCTTTTTCGTAGTGTGTATGTAAAACAATAAGTGCACGTGCACTGCTCAACCACGTGAGCTACGCGACGTCAGCACTTATCATAGAATAACGCTTTTAACTTTATTTTCTTAAAGTTTGTATCAATGTTCGGTGAACATGTTTCAAGCTGCATTTAGTTAAATATGTAGTTATTCGAGTTAGTTATCTTGGAGCCTCTACTCTCTCATTGTAAGCAGTATCTAAGTGGTGATCAACACGGATTCACTTCCGGTCGTTCTACTTCCACAAATCTGCTGTGTTTGACATCGTATCTTACGGAAAGCATGGCAGAGAGGACTCAAACAGACGTCATATACACCGACTTGTCAGCTGCCTTCGATAAGCTAAACCATGCCATCGCGATTGCCAAGTTGCATAGACTTGGGGTCAGCGGCAACCCCTTGCGATGGTTTCGTTCATATCTCACTGATCGGCAACTGATGGTTGCCATTGGTAACAACCGGTCCAATATCTATCTAGCTACGTCAGGAATATCTCAAGGAAGTCACCTGGGACCTTTGATTTTCTTACTCTACTTCAATGACGTGAACTTGGTCATCGAAGGCCCACGACTATCGTATGCAGACGATCTTAAAATCTACCTACGAATCCACTCGATTGAGGACTGTCACTTCCTTTAACGCCAGTTTGAAGCCTTTGCCAGCTGGTGTAATTTGAACCGAAACGTGGTTAACCCCACTAAGTGTTCAGTGATCACTTTTACTCGGAAGAAAGAACCAATCACATTTGAATACAAACTTATCGGCACTGTAATCGACCGTGTGAATCATGTGAAAGATCTGGGTGTTATTCTGGATTCTCAACTTACGTATAAGCAGCACATCTCGTACGTTTGAAGTCACTGTACTGTTCCTTGGTGCGATCCATTCTGGAATATTGTTCTGTAGTCTGGAGTCCAAACTACAACAATGGCGCTGAGAGAGTTGTGTCCGTTAAACGCCGTTTTCTTCGATTCGCTCTGCGGAAAGTCCTTGCCAGCTGATTGATCTGGAGCCTCTCCGAACTAGAAGAGACACCTCTAGCGCCCTGTTCATTGCGCACACTTTACAAGGTAGAATTGATTGCAGTGCAATCTTGGGGCAAGTCAACATTAACGTCCAACCCCGTGCGCTACGTAACAACGTTATGCTGAGATTGCCACTTCAGCGCACAAACTATGGCATGAACGGTGCAATATGTGGGCTGCAACGAGTGTTCAATCGAGTCTCGGGCATCTTCGATTTCCATATGCCTCGACAGCTGCTACGAAGATACTTCTGATCGTTCTTTTCTGGCACCGTCAACCGTGAATGATTGTGTGTTTTATTTATGTATTTTATTCTTAGTTTTTATTTTTTGACTCACCTATATAAGTTAGTTAAATCATCATTGGGGCTATACACAGCCTGTTGATGCAGACAAATAAATAAATAAATAAATAAATAAATTCTGCGCTACATTCATAATGATGAAACAAATTGAGCTTAAATTAAACTTTTTCAATTTTACAATCAACACCAGTGCTGCATTATTTCATCAATATTACGTGACAACTGACGTGCTGATAGCGGCGCTGGTGGTGTAGCGGTAAGCGTGATCACCTTTCACCCCAGCAGGCCTGGGTTCAATCCCAGTTGGCGCCGCCGGGAAGTTCTGAGGCATAACATCTCTGATCAACGCCTTCCTTCGGAAGGGAAATAAAGCCGTTGGTCCCCGGTTCCATCAGTTGATGGGTCGATAGGTAGGGTCCAGGTGTGGGAGCTTGCCTCCCTAGCGTCGGTAGCATTGGTGCTCAGCACAGGAAAACAAGATCGACGGAAAACAAATTAAAGATAATAAACGCCCATTTCTAGACTAGCAGTGAATGAACACTTGTGATACAGTTTTTGTTTTGTCGCACGTCGTCTGATGTCGGTGTTGCAATGGTCTTCATACAGGGTATCGCAGAGTGCCTAAACGCGACTTTGGAACACCCTTGCTTGTTTCAGATGACGTTTAAGCAGCTGATTATCACACTGAATCATTTTTTACATTTCGACCAACAGTTTTGTGTATCGCAAGTGTCGGTTCTTCACATTTTCGTGACATTTCGAAGAATTTCTCCGGAAAAACGCAAACAGATCGTGCACAAATAGTTCCCAACATTTCTCCGAGTCAATTAGAGAAACTAGAAGGTGTAAGCATAGGAGCCGTTTGAAACGCGATTCGACCGTAATCTGGACCGGAAAATCGTGCAAGCTCTCACTCACAAGAAAAGTGCTTCGGTTCGAGACGTGACTAAAAAGTGGGATCCTCGAAGAGTAACGTCCAGCGGGCCAAGGCAAGAATGGGTCTAAAGACGTATAAGAAGCAGAAGAAGCCAAAACGGAGTGAAAACAAGCCGCATACGTCAAACCGAGGGCTCGGAAGTTATACGACCAATTGTTGTGCGGAAAATCGGTGTACGTGAATATGGACAATGAATCATACGTTAAATTTGATTACAAAACTCTTCCTGGTGATCAGTACTACAGCGTTCAAGATGGCTGAATTGTTGACGACGCGGATGAGTCGATGTTTACCGAAAAATTCGGTAAAAATTTTAAAACCATTTGTGAGTGTGGTATGCTTTCCAAACCGTTTGTGACAAAGGAGACAATGACAACCGATACTTACGTGAGTGAATGTTTGAACAAGCGTCTGTTCCCTTTGATCCACAAACACGACGCCTCAGTACTGTTTTGGCCACGGTAGCCTG